TAATTATAAATATTTAATTTGTTGGTGGTTTTGCGATTGCAATGCGACCGTTAATAATATATGACAATGTGGTTCAGACAGATAATACCTGCATACATAGGCGCTTAGTTGAAAAAGTGCTTTGAGCAGCTAAAAAGTGAAAAGTGAACAACGCAGCTAAATTAATAAAATATTGATTTCGATTTAAATTAAAGTGGATTCGCAATATCAAATATTTTGCAGCATATTTTTTTAGTTTTTTTGTTTTTGTTTTTTGCGGCACGTTTCAGTGATTTTTAATGCTTGACAACATTAAAATTAAAAGCATTTAATTAAAGATATAATTTAGCAAACAGAAAACCATTTGGAGCAGCAATGTCTGCCATTACGAAACATTTCCTTCGTTTTGGCCACGTTCAACTGCCTCGCACCGTTTGGACGGCAGCAATTCGGCTCGGTGCTGCATAGTTACCTGCAGGATGTGAGCGTCTCGCATCGCCTCCTTTGGCTCGCCTTATCGCCGTGTCGACATTGGTAATTTACAGAAAAGTATCAAGACTACGATGCAGAGCGGGAGAGAGAGAGACAGAGAGAGAGAGAGAGAGAGAGAGAGAGAGAGAGAGAGAGAGAGAGTGTGTGTGTGTAAGAGGAAACAGCATTACAAATGCCTGGCAGGCTTGCACGAGTATTTTGTATTGCATTTTCGATTTGCACTTTACACGCTTTCATTACACTTCGTTTCCGGTGCAAAGCACTTGACCGCTCTCCCCAACGTCCGTGGCATTGTTAGCATTTAAACTGCTTGCCGATGCCGAATCAACTACTCGCAACTTCACCTGGCTTGCACACTTGATCGGGATGGTGATTATCAACTAAATCCAAAATGCCTCAACGCGTAGCGCTCGTGTCCAGCTGAGACAGCGTTATAATCGTCGAAATTATGCTCGGCTTCATAAACGTCAGTCTGCTGAAGGGGCTGCTGCTTGTGTGTGTCTCCTTGGCTCCTTAGCATTGATGCTTTAAGCTGCAATTTCGTTAAAAACAAAATTTTCAATCGATTTTGTTGGTTTATCGCCAAAAATTTTCTTTCACATTGCTGCTTGTTGTTTGGCTGGCTGCCACTTCTTGTTGCAGCTATTTTTAGAGTGTGTTTGAAGTCTGCGCACAGTGGTTGCACACTGCAGTGGTGAGCATGGTAAAAGCATGAGCAAAAGCACGTACTACTAGGGCGAGTTCATATCCTTTGGCCAACATTTTCCATTGCACTTAAACCAATGTGCTACTTATAACCCACACATGTGTGTGTGTGTGTGCGTGTGTGTGTGGCATATTCTGTTACCAAAACTTACGGAAATGAAATGTGTTTCTATTTCAGTTTTATTTCTCTCCCACTCTGTCTCTGTGTGTGTGTACATATTTACGATTTGAAGTGTTTGCGTTCGTACCGCAAAATGCGAGTAACTACGAAGCCAACGAAAAAAAAAAAAAAAAAAAAAAAAAAAAAAAAAACAAAAATAGAGAGAGAGAGAGAAACAAACTGTAAATACAAACATCAACACAAATACTCGTAATACTTAAGTCTATTTACAAATCATGGCAAAAATGCAATTTGCAACTCACGAAAAAAGGAAAGGTGAAGTGAGCAAATACACCCAGCTGCAGTCGGGCAGTCAGGCAGTCAGGCAAATATGACGTTCGGCTTCCGCTGGCAAATATTTGCGCATATTACGTATACGACCCGCTGCTACAGAAATTGTTTCATATGCAGCGTCCCTTTTAGTATCTGCACAGCCAATCTGCATAATTGTGCGGGAAATATTATAGCAAAATGCTTCGGCCTTGCAATTTATTTTGTTTCACACACACACACACACACACACATCGAGCAGCGGGCGGGCTTCGGGTGTCCTTTCAAGGACAAATCGCACTACATGCCATTGGCACTATATGTGTGAGTGTGTGTGTGCAAAATTTGATGTGCCAGCTAATTAAAATGTAAATACTGTCCCATTTCTATGCATTGCTTTGTTGTGGGTCTGCGTATCATCTCATATCTGTCACATTGTATAAAGCGGCCGTCGAGCGTGATGGAGTGCAATTGTTTTGAGTAATTGTGCACTGATGTGTTAGTTATTAGCATTAATAAGGAATACACACATACACATATATGCTAACATAAATGCAAAGTGGAAGATGAAATAATATGTTATGCAGTCCTTTTGATAGTATTTTATCGGCCATCTCGTTTGATGGCCTTTTCTGTAGCATTTGGTATTAGTAGTCATACGCTTCAGTCTTTTCACATTCAACCCGATCGATAATCTCTTTCATTTAATTTCTGCGAATTTCATAGCTCACTAGCTCAGCTGAATGGCTTAGACAAATTACTTAAGCTAACATAAATTCAGCAGAAACAAATTATTTTTTAGTTCACAGCGCAATTAAAGTCTTGTTCAATTTTGTTCAAGCAAACACCGCAACGACTTGCACTGGCCAACAACAATTTTCATTAGCCAGCGAGTGGGTTTTATGTGTATCAAATTGGCCATTGGCTGGCAGCATACAATAACGGAAAGCAGAAGCAGCAGCAGCACAAGCTTAAGCCAAAGACTTGGAAAAAATGCGCTCGAGCTCAGCGCGTGGCAGGCGAAGCGACTGTCAACTGCTGCCAGTTAGTGTTGGCTGTGTTTTTGGGCTATTTGCTGCAGCTGCAGCCGTCCACGAAACAAAAGCCAGAGTTCAGTCTGTGGTCGCTTTGTTGGTCAGCCTGCGGCCATTTGGCGGCGCGGTGGGCCCGAGTGTGGATGCGAGCGAGTGCGAATGCTGCTAGATATTTGCCTGTGCGAGGCGTGTAAATTCAAAAGGCGGCACACGCCTAACACGCACCTGCCATACCCACACATACATATTTGCACGTCGATATACAGGCAAACAGTTGAATGTTCGCTTACTAATTTAGACAGCAGTGGCATGCCTCGCTACATGCTTAACTTTCCCAAGCTATTTTCGGCCTCATCTGACTGTTGGCCGCAACATTTTTGGCCAGCCGCACGCCATTCACCAGTCTTTGGCCCCGTCTCCCCTCAATTGTTGTCCATGTAGCACACTTATACCGTTTAATTGCCATGGTACTGTGGAGTGGATTGGGAGTGGCTACATCCAAATGCGAGTAAATCCTCCTAGCTAGTTAAATGTTCGTCTGCTCTGCTTCTAAATGTTCAATGGGACTGTTCTAGCGACTAACGGCCTCTTATAAGCTCCGCTTCGATTCTGGGTTTTCTAGCTTTTTTTCTTCATCCTTGTGTATTTTTTTTGTCTGTGTAAATCCCTTAATCTGTCTCGGCAAGGCGAATGACCACACGCACAGATAGTAGTCTACACACACACATACACACACACACATACACACATATACAGACACACGTTTACCGAGCAATTGAATTGTTTCAATTGGTACTTTGTCTGGGCTCAGTTCCAGATCTAAAACTCCATATCGCTTGGTTATCCACATTCTTAATGAAAGTCAATGTGTTAACTGCTCGCATTATGTGGGGCCATGTAAGCTTCCCTCTCGACAGGAGGTCGGATGTTGCTGCCATTGCTTGTCCCTGCGTTGTTTGTTTGCTTAGCTTAATTGGCATTGCACGAATATTGAAATGTCAGCTATCAGGAAAGTCTGTTGCAGTTTCCAGAATATATGGAACTGCCTTGCTGGCTCATGCAATATTAAAGGCAACGAAGAAGCAAGCTGAAATTGCAACCTTTAAATTAAAGCTCCAAGTGCAGTACAAATTTGCAGGTGAACTGATCGATATAAGAATAATGATAAAAAATTTGGTACATTTATCAAAGAGCTTAAATTAAGTTTTATGATTAACTTTAACATGTCCCTGCTACTTTGACAAGCTTTTTAAATTTATTATAATTGAGAAGATAATAATGGTACGATAATAGTTCTTACTTTCTTTCGCTTTTTTTTTTCTCAATCACGATTTAGTTTTGGCATCTCTCTCTTTTTCTCTACTTAGCTTAGGCAACACTCTCTCGATCTTTTTGTATATCTCTCTTCCCTATATCTGTGCCTCCCTCTTTCTCTTTCTCCCTTTTTATATCTCTCTATACTTAGCTTAGGAAACGGTCTCTCTATCTCTCTCTCTCTCTCTCTCTCTCTCTGTTTATCACTCTAACTTTTCCTCACTCTTTTTCTCACTCTCTCTGTCCCTCTCTGTCCCCCTCTTTCTATCTTTCTAGCTATTTAGCTTAGGCAAAACTCTCTCTGTCTCTCTCTTTTCCACTGTTTAGTTTAGGCATTTGATTCTATCAGTCTCTTGTTATCTCTCTTTCTCTTTATCTTTCGTTTCATTTTGTAGATTGAATTTCCTATTTCAAACTTTTATCTAACTTTCGCTTAAAGTAATCATTCCCCCTCTCTGCCTCGCTGCCCCAAGCTTTTATCTCTCTTTATGGATACAATATATATATTTGCTCTGCTTACCAAGAAAGTTTGCCCGTAATTCAGTGAATGGTTATTTATCTCGCTATCTTTGTAACCGGATCAGTGGGCACCGGTCTAATTGAATATGCTAAGGTAATTCAAGCATAAGCCGAACGCCGACTTATACAAATTCGAGTATCTATGCCATATTGGATGTATTATTACAAGCCGGCTCATATTTAATATGTAAACAACTTATATGGCCAACAATGTTGGCCATTGAGTGCACGCACTTCCGGTTAATTTGAGGGCAACCTGAGCCAGAACCCTTGCCTGTTTATTTGCATTGTTTGTTGGCTTGAAGGCCTAACTAAACAGCATTGATATGAGCTGCGCTGAGCTGTGTATCTTTAATTAAGCTAATGCCAATGCAAACAAGGCTGCAGGTAAACGGACGGCACTTTGGCTTCGAGTGTCATTAAATTCAATTTGCCAGCCAATTGTAGGTCGGCCATTTGCAGAGATGCACCCTGTGAGTATATATAGAGGGCCGCATGGCTGCAGAGCTCGACGAAAGTGCCTCAAGATGTTGCTAACGCAGCAGTTGGCTCACCTGACCAAGCTAATCCAGATTATTGGTAAGTTTCAAAAACATTTTGTTTTCTGTTTAGCTTTCTGCAGCTTTGCGCCTGCCACACACAGTTAGCCAGTACTTTGCGCCTCTCTCCTCGCTCCTCATCGTGCACAACAGCACGCATGCAACAGAGCTGCAGGAGGCTTACCTAACGGCCTTGCAGCTCTCTCTCCGGAATCTCAGCCAGCCCCGGCTGCTGCAGTGGATCGACGTGGCCCAGCTGCCCCATGACGAGTCTCAGCCGGATGCCCTAGAATGGCAAGTGCTGCGCGCTGTCAATGCTAGCGTGACCGAGGTGCATCCAACTCTCCCTTAATTGTAACGTCACAAAGAAAAATTTAGCTGCCTGCTTTTGACAGGGCTTCATCACTCTGCTGCCGGACACAAGGCATTTCCTGCACGCGCGTTACTTTGCCACACGCAATGCCAATGTCAGGCTCAAGGACAAGCTCTATCTGTTTCTCTGCGAACTGGAAGAACCACGGGATCTCTTGAGCATGGAAATTTTGCAGTGTATGTATGAAGTTGCTACAAAACAAAAAAAAATGAAGAATGAAGATTGAAGCAAAGGAGTTTTGTTAACCAAGTCCAAGTTGCTTTGCTTTAGGCCTCCCCAATCTACATATGAAATAACAGTTTCTTTTCAATATTCCTCTCCCTATTACTTACTCTTTTCAAGCATGTGAAAATGAACCGTGACTACATATTTAATGTAGTTAGCTTAATCCTTTGCTTAGTCAGCGAACAGAACGTTTAAAATTTGGCAGCAATTGCTGTGCTGTGCTGTCTTTTTACTTAGCTGGCAATAAAATGCAGACTTGACGGAGATTCCCTGGGGCACTGACGGAACAAGTCCAACTCAAAACTTTGACTCATACTCGTACACACACACACACACACTCGTAAATGTGGCAAAAACAGCCACGGGGCGCATCAGTTGATCAAACTTTCAACTTTGGCACTGGCCAATAATTTCCACGCTTGACGGCGCCTTCTTCAATTGTAAACTTTTTTTCGTTGTTGGCATTGGCTGGAAGTTAATTTGGTTGTTGTCCTTTTGGCTTGTTCTTCAATATTCCCATGTTTGCAATGCGCTTTAGTCTACCCGCACCATCTGATGGTGCGGCCCGCAGAGCAAGCAAATAAAGGATGCGGCGAGGCAGACGTAGGTGGATTTGTTTCTGGAGCTAGAGCTAGAGCTAGAGCTGGAGCTGGAGCTGGAGCTGGAGCTGGAGAGGCCGCAGTTAGCTTGCCACACCCATACCGCGACATCAATTTGGAGCTGTGGACACAGAAGTTTGTCGGTGGCAGTGGAAATTTGGATGCTATATTCTTGGACGCATTCTTGCCGAACGAAACTTTTGCCAACCGAGCCGAACTTTATCCCAACAAACTGCTCAATCTGCAGCGGCGCGCGCTACGCCTCGGCTCCATTACTTATGTGCCATACACAGTTACTAATTATGTGGTAAGTAATTGCCGGTTAAGTTTATATTTATCGTTGTGTCTGCTCTCTCCTCTGGTTGTTGTTTGTTTGTCTGTTTGCTGTTGCTGTTGTTGTCGGCACGCCCACAATGTGACAGCCCCAGTCCTACTGCTCCTCATAGCTGGAGCACAAGCACAAATGTCGTTGAGATTTGCACGCAGGCATTAAGCAAAGCCAATTGGTCGTCCTCGCCACAATGTTGTGTCCTTGTCGCATTAGGCCACTGTACGAAATGGTCATGAATAAATGCCTAGTGGCTGCTTGCCCCACCCCCCCCCGCACAACCGTCCTCTACATCTGAGCGGGTGCTCTGCCTGTGTGTGGTTTGCTTGCTTGCTGGGCTGATGGAAAGTTATTTCTTGCTGTGGACAGGGATTTCGGTAACTAAAACTTTAAGCATACGCTTGCTCATGTTGTTGTTGTTGTTGTTCTGTTTATTTTTATAGTGGGTGTGTCGACTTTTGTCAGTAGTTGTTATGAATTGTCGCGTGGGGGGTCATTGCACAGTGGTGCAAGAAAGGAAGAGTAATTAACAAATTAAAGAGCAATTCAGTTGCATTGTCAAATTAAATATTTTAAATTTGTGCATTGATTTTTACTTGACCTTTATTAATTAGATATCAGAATTAAATTTCTTTTCATTAATAAGTAATAAAAAACTTTGAATTTCAGCCAATTTATTTTCTCTCTTTTTATCACTATCAAGGACTTACATATTTGTTATATTAATCACATAAAATTGCATGTCTGCATTTCATTTTCCATCACTTGCTAACCACTGTGCACGGCCCACTCCAATGCCGAAACGGACAAAGGCAAACAAAACAGTTAGTTGCTCAACAAAAAAATATTCTTTGTTGTCACTTGGTGGAAGTTTTGTTCGCACTCAATTGTTTGCCTTAAGGACATTTGCACATTTGTAAACACACCCATGCCGAAAAATAACAACAGTAATAGCAACTCCAACAACAACACACACACTCGCACTCACACATGGCCGCAAGCATGTGCATGTGGTTTTGTTTATGGCCAGCTTTAGCACAACATTGATTTAAATTACGTGTTTCCATTTAATTGGTGCCGAGTGTCGATGTCGATGTCGTTGTCGTTGTCCATGTCCATGTGCGTGTGTCTGTGTCTGTGTCCGTGTGTGTGGGCGTGGCATATGCTGTGCCTGGCCATTACGAGGCCATTTAGTAAATTAGAACAGACACTTGAATGCCCAACAATGGGCGCCAATTAGGCGCTGCTGCCCAAAACTTAATAAACTCCCGCAACTTCACAGGCAGCTGGTGTCGGCAATGAGGATCCAATTAACCCGCACAGAGCCAATCGGACAATTGCCTACGACGGCTCCGAGGCGAACATAATGCGCTCCTTCTGTGAGGTGCACAACTGTCATCTGCGCATCGAAGCCTGTAAGAGTATAGAAATTTATTTATTGTGGAATATGAATAATATAAAATTTAAACCAACTTAAGAAGAGGTGAGCAAACTCTAGACGAGACTGCTCGACGAGATCTGAGATCGATTTCAAAATTTCTTAGTTTATTTTCCGTTTAGAATCGCGTACGCACTCATGAGGCTGCAATCATTTAGCTTATTTCCGGCTAGATCTAGCCTTTTTGAAAATGCGTATGGTTTGGAATAGCCAGAAACTGAGGCAGACTATTCAGGTGTCCCAGTTCTATATTTTGATCTTCTTTTAAAGCTCAGCTTGATTTAAAGCTTCCATACAAGTCCATCTAAATCATCTTTGATAAATCCTCTCAGCTTAAGGTTGACTTTATTTTGGCTTAAGACTTTTTTAATCCCTTCTCTACTCTCAGATGGCGCCGACAACTGGGGCAGCATCTATGACAACGAGAGTGCCGATGGCATGCTGGGCGACCTCTATAAGCAGCGCGTAGAACTGGCCATAGGCTGCATCTACAATTGGTACGATGGCATTACGGAGACCTCACATGCCATAGCTCGATCGGCAGTGACCATCCTTGGACCAGCTTCAGTGTAAGCTGTGGACAGCTTGCCTTGCTTACACTCCCTTACCTATGCTCCTTCTGTAGACCCTTGCAGCCCTGGTGCACCGACATTCTGCCCTTTAATGGCGGCACCTGGTTCCTGCTGATATCCACGATTGGCGTGTGCAGCCTGGTTCTGTATGTTCTCCGATACTCCAACTACATTATGAAGAGGCGTAAGGGAAAGGCTTCGTTCGTGCATGGCGAAAATGTGGAAAAGTCTCTGCTGGATATATTTGCGCTCTTCATACAGCAGCCATCCGCGCCCCTGACGTGAGTTTCCATTAGCCAATCCCTTGCATCAGTTGACAGGAGTCAAATTGATTTCAGCTTTGACCGCTTTGCCACCCGCTTTTTCCTAGCCACACTGCTGTGCGCAACGATTACGCTGGAGAACATTTACAGCGGGCAGTTGAAGTCGCTGCTGACGGTGCCGCTGTATGCCGATCCAGTGGACAGCATTGAGAAGTGGGCGCAGGCGCAGTGGAAATGGGCTGCGCCGTCCATCATCTGGGTGCACACAGTGGAGCAGTCGGACCTCCTAACGGATCAGATACTCGCGGATAACTTCCAGGTGCGCGACTACACCTTCATGTACAATGCCAGCTTCAAGCCCAACTATGGACTGGGCATCGAGCGTCTGGCATCCGGGGCATTCAACTTTGGCAACTACGTGACGCGCGAGGCTGTGGAGAATCGCATTGTAGGCGAGATTTGGATTGGAGGCGGGGCTATTGATCAATCGATTCTCTTTGAAGGTCATGCACGACGATCTCTACTTTGACTGGACGCGCGCTGTCTCCATCAGGGGCTGGTCGCTGATGCCACTGCTAAACCGTCACATTCGCGCCTGCCAGGAGTCGGGTCTCTACGTGCACTGGGAGCTGGAGGTATCTCTCAAAATGCATTCCCTCTGCCAGTGCTTAACTATTTGCTTCTGCAGAATGTTGACAAGTATTTGGATAAAAAAACGGGCCAGGTGCTGTTCAATCAGGCCATTGGCTATGTGCCCAAGAAAGCGCCCAAAGCCCTGGAAGTAGACGACATATCCGCTGCCCTGTTCGTGCTGGCCTTTGGCCACGCCATTGCCGGCTGTGCTCTGATGCTGGAGCTGCTGCATCAACGGCTGCTGCACAGGCGCAACTAATTTGTGGTCTGCAGTTGGAGATGGAACTGGAGTTGGAACTGGATTTGGAGCTGTAGTCTAAACTGGTCACTGATTGTTTGCCCAGCGGCTCACACGTGTCGTACACATATCAAACACCTGTACGCACACACACACACACAGACACACCTGCACACACCTTCGCACTAACAAGCAAAAATGTGTTAGCCAGACTGTGGTACCAATTCGGTCCTCCTCACCGCTCGAAGGACTACCCGTTGGCAGGCAGGAGTTTCGGTCCAGCCGGGACAGCGGATTCGGTCTGCTCACAAATCCACAGGCAGGCGTAATCGGGTTGCTTATGCTGTTTCAGTTCCGCACGTTTGCGGATATGCAAACTGAAAATGACTTTTGCCAGTGCCTGGTAATTGGAAAGCCGTTTAGAGCTACACACACACACACACACACACAGACAAACACACATGTCTGGTCGTGTCGTGTGTTGGCATGACATCAACTTGGACCAATTGCAGTGTAGCAATTGCTCCTGGTAATTAAGCACGTTTTAATGATGCACTTAATTACCGTTGGGGAAATTATTCATTATCACTAATTTGTAGCGGTTTTGATCGCACTCGCCTGCCAGCTAGATAGGCTGCAGGTGCCACCTGCAACTTGCCACCTGCCACCTGCCATATGGCAGCTGCGGCCTGCTGCCTGCTGCCTCCTTTGCAATCAAAGTAATTTTCATAAGTCGACGGCTAAAGGATGTCAGCGTCTCATCATTTTGCATCCTTGCCTCGCTCGTTAGCGTTCCGTTTGAGCCAGGCCAAGCCAGTGGCTAGCAGAGTCTCGACTCACACATACCCTGTAGCGATTAGCTGTAAGTAGATTCAATTGCTGCTAAATATATCGAGCTATATGTTTGTGGTCAGTGACTGCCTTACAGGGTATTCCTGGACCAACATGAACCTGAGCATGGCGGCTGGGTCATTTCCGTTTGTGACCCCAGCTTTTGCATATTTCCGTTTTGTGTTTGGAATTTTTAAGTGAGTAACTCAACTGCGCTTAACTTTGCAATCGTTGTTGTTGTTGCTGATGTTGCTGTTGCTGCTGTTGCTGATTTGCGTCTGCTAATGCAGCTGTTTGTTTCCGTTTGTTAGCATTTACTTGTTTGCTGTTTGTTGCTATTGCTGGCGCTCTTGATGTTGCTTGCTGTTTTGTGGCACGGCCAGGTTTTTGCATCTGCGGCGACTGTGTTGCACAACTTGGCTTTTATATTTTTTGTACGACTTTTGAGTGTAGCATTTGACAGTTTGGACAGCTTTTGCTGTTTTGCTCCATCTGCCGTTTACTGACTGCAAACAATATGCTGTTTCTTTTGGCCACGGCCAGGCGGAGCAGGGGACGGCACGGCACGGTATGGCTCGACACGGACCGACAGTCAAAGTGCCCGCTGAAGTGTCAACGAAATTTGTGACCAAACTGCGAGATTTGTGCAGCATTGTGTGCTCGCAGGAGCGTAACTGCCAGATAGGGGAACAAAGAAAGAAGGAGCCAGCGTAGTCCGTGGGCCGTGGTCCGTTCAGTTTGCAGTTAATTAAATCGCTGGCCAAGAATGTTTCACGTGCAATCAGCGCAACGGGCGCCGGCCCAGATTTATGACGTTGCCAACAGGCGATAATTGAGATTACATAAAGGATGCCGCCGAATGAAATAAATCTGTGCAAGGCGTTCTTGGCAACTGCCGCAATTCACTTGCTGCCCTGCGGCACGTGCAACTGCAGCCAGACGCCAGCGGCTTTAATATATGAGCTGCTCGCACACTCACTCTCTCTTTCGCTCACGATTGGTCGGGTCTTGTGGCTTTAATTGAATTAGCTCAGGCAGTTCGAGCGGCCGACAATTGGAATATCTTATGCATTTTTAATGATACTATCATGAAAGCCGTTAGGGCAGCTGAGCAATGCCTCAGCTTTATATGCCTCTCACATCGATCCAATTAGATGTTGTTCCTTTGGCTGTCTTTGGCTGCTTTGGCTGTCTTTGGCTGCTTTGGCTGGCTTTGGCTGCTCTGGCTGCTGTCTCAGCCAGTGGGTTGCCTCCAACAACCTTTAGTCGCGACCAGGCTCATTATCAACGTCAATGCCGGCTTCGTCGCGACATATTTTTCTTCTTTAACGCGCCTGCAAATTTATCGCTCATAATTATTTCATTTTACAGTCTGCTGAAGCTCTCAGGCAACGACCTACACGAGACGACGCGCCGTCATCTTAAACATTGCGCGGATGCTGCTCAAGTCGAAGCACTTAAAAAAGCTAAGCAGGGAATAACAAAAACAACATCAAAATCATTCAAGACGTTTTATGCATTTCATACACTTAACGCAAACAAATGAACTGTCGTAAAGCCAGACTAAAAATCTGAATTTATTAAATAAAAATAATACAAAATTTTAAAGGCGCATAAATGTAAACGTGGAAAAACTATTTATGCATTCGCCTGAGCAAATGCGGCACTTTAATTATAGTCTCTCTAATGATGATAAGCTGTTGCACGGTTGAGTGGCTTAACGGCAATATAAAACTGTTGCACCTACTTATTGCGCACAAAGAGAGTAGCTTGTGGCTTAGGGTAATGCTGCTTAGAAGGTATTACAGAAATGCATTGCATTTGCCAAAAGCTTCTGACATAGTTTTCAACTGTTCCCACGGCAGTTCACACATTCCCCCTCACACGTAAAATAAGAGTGTGTGAGTGTGTGTGTGGGTGTTAAAAACAACAAGTATGCAGTTGCTACCAATCAACACACAAAGCATAAAAACACAGTGCTGCAGGTGGCTGGTGGTTTTTGGGGGAGGAGGAGCGAGAAGGATTCTGCATTAGCATAATAAACGCAGAGACAGAGGCACGCTGACCGACTGAAAGCAGCGCAGTAAGCTTACAGTTAACATTAGTGGCATGCCATAAGGTAGCACTGGTCAAGCTATTAATTCAGCTGCGAGTTAACTGAATTCAGCTTTATGAATTAATGTAAGAATACGCAAAGTTCTATATCACCTCACCATATTCGCTTTCGGTATCTCGCATGCATTTCTTCATTAATTCTTTGACAACTGTTATACGACTGTTATAGCTTCATGTAACACCATTAACAATGTTAGCAGAATAGTAGAGATATTGCTGCTGCAGTTAATGTATTAGTTGAATTTATTTTAGATGAAATCAACGAATCCTCAGAGCCGGCCACAATGCCTGGTATGAAAACAAAACCATTATACCAGGATTTCCCATTGGAAGTGGATTCAACAACTGGATGGATTGCCAACTCTCCACAGCCTGCATCTTGCATTTACAGGGTATATAAAGCAACGTTGCAGAGTGTGCAACTAGCCAAGTTTTTAGCAGCTTTGGTTGATTTTACAAGCATGCCACAAACAACAACAACAACGACAAAGGACGGCCTGTGTGTTGGCAGCGGCATTAGTCGGGGGAACAATTAAGTGTGCGTGCCTGGTTGTGCGTGTGTGGGTGTGTGTGGGTAGAACCACAATGTGTGCACGCGTATTTGGGTAAATTGTTTTGCACTTAGCTAAAAGTTGGGCGCAAAATAAACAGAGTGTAAAAGCTGTTGCCAGTTATCTCTCATGTTGTTTCACTTGCTGGGGTTACTCTCTCCATCCCTTCTATTTTTATTTTCCCATTTTTGTCTTTTTTTGAGTAGGAGGATTGTCGGTGCATCAAGTCGATGGAGACCATTAATCAAAAGGCAACTGAAACTGGTATAAAACTGTCGTCAGGCAACAAAAATATTTATAGGCATTGCATAGACACTCTTATAATTGAGGAATTACAATTTGAACGGCACTGCAGTCGGCAGTAGGCTTTCAGTTCGATCTAAGCCCAACGACTGACAGCCGCCGCAGACAAAGTCACAACATGCAAAAACCTATATAGATGTATATACGACTGTGTCTTGAAGCTTTGAGCTAAAAGAAAAGAGAATGAAAAAAAGAAATGCCAATGGCAATAAAGCGAATGTAAATGGGCTCAGCATTGACTATCGAATCTGCTGCCAGAAGACAAATTGCGCTTTGGTTGCCCTCTGCCGAGGCCGATGCTCGATGTACGGCTACAAAATGAAACAGAGCTAAGGCTGTGGCTCCTGTTCTCTCTGCCTTTCATTTTACTTTGCCTTTGTGCTAGTGCAAAGAGTTGATCTATGGAGAAAGAGCTCCGTCTGCCGCCCCTGCCAGCATGTGACTGACATTTCACATTCAAATGTTCTGACAAAAGCAAAAACATGAAGAAAACTGAAATGATGTCGAACAGTGTCTACTCTATAAATCTATTTGCAACGGGATAATGTTCATTATACGTTGGTCAAGAAAGAATTGGTTTATGACTGATCCATGAAATAGAAATTGAAACGAAATATGCATTCTCTACTCTCTCCTTTAGTTACAGATTCCATCTGATTAATTTCGGGGGGCTGTTCCACTATGCAAAACGCGCAGCGCATTGGATATGCTCAAAGCAACTGGGCCCATATTGAATATGGATTGCAAGTAAAGACAAGCCGGCGCCGCAGATGCTTTCGAATCAGCAGGAAAGGCGACTCGCATCGCCACTTCTGTGATGGCATATAAATTTTGCGGTCTGTGGCCATAAATCAGCGTTTGGCTGTCGCCCGTTTGTCGCTGTAAATCGCAGTCGCAGTGCCAAGGCTCAATCTCAATCTCACTGCCTCCAAAGGTTGCTCTTTAACTGGTCATTAATTACAAATTATGTGCTGCTGCTGTAGATGTTGATGTAGTCGTAGTCGGAGCTGGAGCTGTAGCTGTAGCTGGAGTTAGAGCCCTGTAGCTGCCTCTCAGCTGTCTAGTGAGTGTCGCCTGAACAAATTAATGCTGAAGCTGGCGACGATGATGACGACGATGACGACGACATGGTCGTTGCCAATAGGCAACAGTGCAGCAGCAGTGGCGCGGACCTCATCATCTCGCGCTGGAGTGTGGCTTCATTAGGCGTCGCTGGCCAAGTGTGTTGCCGTGAGGGCCGCGCCACTTGCCAGACACATAAATAATTAATAGAACCGTAGAAAAAGGCGCACAGCACCAGCTCACCGGGCCATTTGCCACTTGACACTTGCCAGTTGCCAGTTTGCAGTTGCCAGTTGTCGGTTGCCAAAGGATCTGACTATTAACTCCCAAGCACTCTGGGTGTTTCAAAGTTGCGTAAGCAAATATTTGGCCTCATCATCATGATACTTGCCGCAACTCACTCTCATATTCCGTTTCAAATTCAGAAAAGTCATTAAATAATTTTCCACACTTGCACTTAACGTGGCTGAATCATAAACAGATCTCTCTCTCCCTCTTGCCCTCTCTTTCTCTGTCTCTCTCGTTCGCTGCGTATGCTGCAGCAATTTGATGTATGTATAATCAAAATGCTCCAGTGTTTTCATTGGGTTTCGCTTTGGCACCTCTGCTGCCACTTGCCGCAAAAGGCAACTGAAATAAGTACACATGAAATATGTAAATTGCTGTGAGGGAACTAGCTGACGTGGTGTGAAATGTTGTTGCGGCACACACGCCGTATACTTGATGTGCAGCGTTTTCTATTTCAATTAATTTCCAGCTCATTTTCAATGTCAATTTCGATTGGCAGCTTAGCAGTCGAAACTTGCAGACACGTGACATTATTTGCCCAAGATGGGCGTGGCGTAAAGAATCCGAAAATGTGCTAATATAAAGTGGCACATTCCATGACGAGGAGCGACTGGGGAAACGCGCAAGCGGCAGTCCCGAACGGCAGTTCCGGCTGGATTGCGGCTTATTTGATTTTCATTAGGCATAACTCAATTTGAAACAAATAAAACGCGCTCAGCCGCAGATGAGCTACTTATACAACAAACGTAACAACAACAACAACAACAACAAGGACGACAACGACGGAGCCAATTCCTTACCGGATTATAGTCATGACGAATGAAACGAACGGAAACGGAGATACGGTGAGCGGCAGCCGGCAGTCGGGACAGACGGGACTGACGGTGGGGAGGTGGGCACAAAACCAAACCGAGCTAAGCCAGTTGCCGACCACCAAGTGCAGATGATGAAGCTAAACTACAAGTTGCACGAACAATGAGGCAGCAGGAGTGGCAGCTGTAGCAGCAGCAGGAGTAACAGGAGCAGCAGCCGAGCCAGTGGCAGTGGCAGTACTTGGAATTGGGGGAAAATCAAGTAAAAGGCAACCTTTTGATTTCATTTCCTGTTAATATTGCCCGGACCAGAGCTCGCACAGACGCCAAGCCGACACTCAGACAGGCCGACAGACGGACAGACGGACCGACGGCCCGACAGGCGACTTGGAATGGCAAGCATAAGCAACTTTGTCAGGCGATTAAGGTGATGCTGAGAAATGCCGCAGGAATTTCAATGGACTGTAGTTGAGGGTCAGTTGCCGAGGCTCTGCTGCTCCCCAGGGAAGATCATTATATCGTCAGTTTGCCTATGCCTCCAACGCGGCATGGGCACAAAACTTTTTAGCCTTTCGACTTCCTTAGCACTTGGGGGCTGATAAAGTATTTATGAGCACGCATGCCAGCAAATGCGTGTGTGCGAGTGTGGGTGTGTGTGAGTTTAGGTATGTATGTTGATGTGTGTGAGGTCTCTGTGCATGCATGCAAATGCTAATATCTTATTAAAAGAGACAAGCTACCAAATTGATTAGCTTCGATTAAACACAGTTTGAAAATCACAAGATAGAAACGAAATTTTATATTTGTTAAGTAAATAAAGAAGTCAAAAAAGCTCATCATGTATATACATACATAATATAAGTAAATATACAAATATACAAAAATTTAATATAAAAAATTTAAATAAATATAATTTAAATATGTTGGATGCACATATCAACTTTACATTAAATATTATTAAACACAGTTTTAAAAGCAAGAGATGCAAAGAAATTTTATATTTGTTAAGTAAATAGAAATGTGGAAAAATCATACATATGCAAATAAAGTTTACCATTAATATATAAATATAAAAACAATTTAATATGAACAAGTTCAATACATTAATTAAACATCTAAAATGCACATAAAATGTGTATTACATTGAAATTGAAATGGGAAATGATCAGAAATAAATTGAACTGAAAATATATATCAAATTAATAATTCATTTTGAACTATGACATTTCTTTAGAACCAAGTCAGTTGGCTGTGTATAACTACACCTTTACACACACACACACACACATACACAACTTGTCGAACATTCTTATTTAATATACTAAGAATTGCTTATAAACTTTGTGCTGGAGTCTTGAGGGAATCGCAGATCTGTAGCATTTAGTTTGTGTGCAGTTTTCCTTTATTTTATTTCCTTTATTTCATTCATTTTTTTTTTTTTTTTTTGGCATTCTCATGGGCAATTTTCCATTTGCAGAAGTAAGACAACTTTTGTTTGGGTTTCACTTGAGTTTTTCTTTAGCTATTCAGCCACGTTTATCCTCAGCTCAGTTTTCAATTTCATTATATTTGCTCATGCTGGTTGCGTTCGTTGCTGTGGCCCTTGTTGTTCTTGCTGTTATTGTTTGAGGTAAGGATTTATGTATTGCGTGCGTTATCTGATATTATCAGCAAATATCATGTCATGAGACTTATAAGTTGTTTGGCACGATTCTTGACTTAGCTGACGGCAAGAAAGTTGGTCTTGGCTGCTTTTTTAATTAAACGGCGCCTGATGAAAGCTCTAGCTCTGCTGTATCTTAAAGATACATCTGTTAAGTGGCTCAATTAAATCAAAACTAAATGCCGCACTTAAGCATTGCAAG